ATGTTGTTATTTATTTCCTTTTGTTTTTCTACTATTAGTCTAAAATGTTGTTAATTATTAATTACAAATTATTTCAATCTCCTGTGTCCATGTGTATATCAACGAGCGCATGCTTAACTCATTGGGTTTAAAAATATTTAAGAAAATAAAATAATAGATTGATGATGGATGATGACAAACCTTACTTACTACCCACCGATTACAATCGGTACTTCAAACAAAAAATAAAAATTGCTCCATTCGTAATGGATACAAATGGATCTTAATTAGGCACATATTTGGAACACCTGAACAGAGAGGCTCACAGATGGGAGGACCCACCTCAAATGCCAATCGCTGTAATATGCATTTTGTATTCATTGCAAGAAATAGAAATTTATATTCTACATTCTTTTTATTTTTATCAGTTTAAGAAGACTAAATATAAATCTATATATGCAACCAGTGGCAGAGTCGGGAATTTTCTTTTGCAGAGCCAAGTTAAATAAGAAGATAAGATAAGGAGAAAAAGGAATAGGATTTTAGAAAATGGCCTGAACACGTTTGGATTTATTACAGATTTTTTAAAGAAAAAAATTTATATTAATTTTAGGAGTTGTAGGAATTTTAGAGAATGATCCTTTTACAAATTTTGTTCAAATTTTGGAGGGGCCAAGAACATACTTTATTATGTTTTATTTAACCTAGCCTCCAGGCCCTCCACCAAGTAATCATGGTTTTAGGAAAAGTTTGGGGGGGAGGCGGGGGGGTGTTTGGAGTGGGTGGAAGGGTGGGATTGCGGTTTATATTGACCAATTTATTTATATTCTTATTTTAGAAAAATGTGAGATTTATGGTAAGTGATACCCTTCTTGGTAAGTTAAGGTTTTTAAAACTAGTCCGGACATGACATGGAACCGTTTTGGGGACTGGTTCTCTGGTTGAACACTCTGATTGTTGATCGGTTCAAATGGATGGCCCATTCTGACTTGAAAAAAAAATGCAAAACAGCCAAAAATCATTGTCTGGGACAACAATTTGGCCACTTGGGTCAGTGGGTCACTGACCAAATCAATGGTTTTTATCCAAAAAGTGATTTTAGGGTGAAACAAAACTAGTTACCTGACCGATTCCTAGGTTTTCCGGTTTGATTACCCAATCTAGTTTTCAAAACCATACGGTTATAAGTTGAGTTTCCCATGTAGAAGGTAAATAAAAAAAGAAATTAAAATGATAAAAAAGCCCACAAGATTCATTTACCCATATAAATTAAATAAAAAAGAACATAGGTACCTAGGAAATAGGTTCTTGAAAAACAAAAAGGGCCTAAACCTAATATTTGTTTAGTATTTATTTGTATTTGCACTCTCCAAACTGAGCCTTAGGCTGCGTTTGGAAATGATGCAAATTAGTGTGAATGCAAATATATAGAGTGTAAAACGGTTCATAAAAATTGCAAAATTGGGTTAGTTTTGCACTGACAAATTTACCTTCTTACCAAACAGACTTTTAGCTGTAATGGATGCAAACATGAATTCCAATAAAGCATATGTTTTTTTTTTTATCAAAAGCCTACTTGAATGTAAATTTATTTCTTTTTTATTGATGTACTTTTACATCTTATTATCAATATAAATATGCATTAGTCTATCATTTATCAATGCATAAATGCAATATTGTCAAACACAAGCAAAAATAAATCAGTGCAAATTTACCCTGAACCAAGATTTACACTTCATTTGCATCGTGCACAAAACGCAGTCTTAAATTAAAATCCATTCAATCAACTGCAACAATTTGATTTACAAACATCTTGGTAAAAGGAAGTATCAAAACTCAAAAGCAATAAGATCACATATACAAAAGGAGGTGTCACACTCTATATGTCGTTACTCGTTAGTGAGTGTTTGCCCATGTATGGAAAGTGTAGTGAGTGCTGAATTGAGTAGCATATTTATTATTCGCCGATCATCAGCTTGCTAAAACATTCCATCCAATTAATCAAGACTCAAACCACCTCTTGATCCTGATCTTACCGGCCAAATCATTCGATTAATGAATGAATACCTTCGACCGCCAATCTTATTGTTCATTGAAGAAATGGCCCACAAATTTAAGGGTTTCAAACTTTCAATTGAAAACGTCCCCAGTTCAATAAATGCTATCAAAAACTTTTAGGGGTGGCAATGAGCCGAACTTCTTACAAATTATTCATGCTTGGTTCATCTTGGTTTAAATTGAGTTTTGAGTCGAGCTTGAGCCTAGTAAAATTCGGCTCGTGAGGCTTATGAACCTAGTATAATAAATAAATAAATTGTTATTATATACATACATATACATATGCATATAAATATATATATATAATAATAATAAATAAATAAATAAATAATTTTTATATATAAAATAAAAAAAAATTATATGTATGATTTTTATTTAAAAAAAGGGACTATAGCCGATAAGGACAATTTTTGGGTTCTTATATCAATAAGAATAATCTTTTTAACATAATTATTAAAATAGGTTAACTTTTTTTAAAAAATATCAAATAGGGGCAGAAACACTATTCATCTCCTTATTCCTCCTTCAAACCATCTAACATATCTCCCCGGGTCCTGATTTGCAGGCTTTAATGGCATTCAAAATTGCTTCAAATACCTCTAACAGGCTTATTAACCAGAACCAAACTGTCGATTTGTATACCTGGTATGATGTTTCATGTATTCTTTTAATTGCTTTAGAAGAATAACTTATAGTAGTTCTGCTTTGAGTTTGGAACAACTCAGAGGCAGAGAAGAAGAAGAAGAGATAGATAGATAGATAGAAATTGAGAGAGAGAGAGAGAGGGGTGGGAAGATTTGTTTGGTGGTTTAGAGGAAGGAGGAGATCAACAGTGTTTCTGCTCCTATTTGATATTTAAAAATAAAAAATTAACATATTCTAGAAATTATGTTAAAAAGATTATTTTTTATTGATATTAGGACCCAAAAATTGACTTATAATCGAGTTTGAGCTTGCGAGCTTTGAATCAAGCTCGAGCTCAAGCCTAACACAGTTTCAGTCAAGCTCGAATAGTCAAATATTCAACTGGACTCAGCTAAAATCCTGTCCCTTTATTCTTGGATTCTATCGGCAGGTTCAGCTCCTCAGAAAACCTTAGGAAACACTGGTCTGTTTTGGCTCCATGTGAAAAATGTAAAACTCTTAGAAGTCGTTATCTGGAAATAAAGGATGCTATGAGGCCTGTATCAGATATTTTAATTTTTTAACAATAAAACGATAGACGACATCCTAAATTGCCATTATTATCTCATCCTTCTAATCCAGTATCGTATTATCTTGATCCTCTTTAGTCTGTACTGTGATAAAAAACCCTAGTTGGAACCCTGCTTTGTCAATTGATGTCTCCTTGTTGGTCCAGGTTGAGTGAACATTGAATAACCCACTCCACAAAACTACTGAAAAAAAAATCTTTCTTTTCTTTTCGTATATTTTCTTTTATTAATTAATGTATATATTAGGGTGGGTCAACAGGCACATGGGTTGCTTCATGTTACCTTTCTGAGTAATATCAAAGCCATCATATCTATTCAAGCAAATTTCTCAGTGTTTTGTTGTATTGGAAAATCAGTTTAAAGACCGGTGAAATCTATGTTGGGATTCGTTTGGTTTGCAGTCGGAATTGAAATCATTTGGAGTTAGAATGTTTTATGTCATTCCTCCAAAAATCAGAATAGAATTCTGATTCTGCCCAACCAAACAATTGTAATTAGAATAATTCATTTAAATTCGGATTCTAAACCTTTATTCCCACGAATCAAAGGGACCTTACTTTTAATTCAACTATGGAAATGAAAATTTATCAGAGGTCCATCTTTAGCTAAATTCTGTGAGCTAACTTGGGCAGAGACCATCTACTGCTAGCTTACTCGGTAATAATTGTCCATCAAATTTGGTAATTCCAAACCCATACATATTCAATCCTTCTTGGTCGGCTTAAACACATTCCTTAGGCCTCATTGAATTCAAATACAAGCAAATATATATAGCTTTCAATCTGAAACTTTGGACCATTGATTTCTTCTTGGCCATTGATCCAAATTCCAGAAACACTTGCAATTATTTTTTCTTGGTCACGTTACAATAAAATAAATATTGTTGTTAGAAAATTATTTCATTAAAATTTCTCATGGTGAGCTGAGAGTCAATGCAGAAACTTGTCAAGAATTTCAACTTTAATGTGTAAAGCAAACAAGACTTTATACTTTCTATACACGTCGTATTTATAACACCAATAGCCGCTAAAAAAGTTGGTATATGCAGGAAATAGGAGAGAGCCGTGTGCTGCACATATCCGACTTGGTTCGGGAAATTCCAAGGCGTTGTTTTTGGCTGGTTTCATGGTTTGGCTCAAAGATTCTCTCAGCTGCATAAAATTGGGTCGTTTTAACTAGCATTTAATGGTCATGGGCGTTACGTTAGAGGACGGTGACAGAGATGACCTCTATCTCTATGTAGTGAACAAGTCAACAGATGAATCGCAGCCGTCCGATCTAATGATGTTGAATTTGGCAAACAGTGTCAGATTTTGTTGGTGTGGGCCCTCGTTTGATTTGAATGGTTGTGATTCATCAGGCTCTGTCTCTCCACCATAATTACAGGTATGGTTTACTAACAGACCGAGACCGTATTAATCGGTTGAATTACTCGCAAACGAAAAAAATTAAGAGTTGATGTCATTTTGGTCATTTTGTTTAGTTTAGAGATACTGGGCCCCACTCTTATAGTGTAGGTTCATATTCCCGTTAATTTTTGGTTTGGTTGAATTTTCATTCCAAAATAAAACGTAAGAGGGTAATTATTTAATAATTCGATAAGGAGGTAGGATTAGGATTAAGAAAAGAAAGTAGGAAGAAAGAAACATGGAGGTCGGTTCCTTGCAATCAACGTATCTGAGGTTTGGGTTCGGAGTTAGGTTCGGGTGATGACTTTAAGCGGATAAGAACGACGCCAAACCAAAACCATCCGACGCCATCTACCACCATTACAAGAACCCTTCCCACCACTTCTCCCCGCTCTAATCCTTGAGACCTCACACCAATCTGTCCATCTCTCTCCTAGTTTCCTCTCCAGCTCTCCTCACCTCTCTCTCTCTCTCTCTCTCTCTCTCTCTGAAACCTTAGACTTAACAGAGCATCTGCAATTCCGCATCTCCAAACTGGCGTTCGATAATCAAGAATCCACGGTCAAAGAAATCAAACCCAAGAACAGAAGAATCATGGTAAGCACATGATCATTATACCTGTTCTTCTACTAATGACGTCGAAGTGTCATTGCTGTTGCTCTGGTTTTTCAGTTGATTTGTTTAGTTGTTTGCTTGACTTGCTCTGCTTCTTCAATGGAATCAGGGAGCTGGAGGTCCAGAAGACGATGATAACGTGTGGCCACAATGGTTGCGCCCTCTCCTCCAAACTCCTTTCTTTGTTCAATGCAAGTTCCATGCTGATTCCCACAAGAGTGAATGCAATATGTATTGCTTGGATTGCATGAATGGGGCTCTCTGTTCTCTTTGCCTGGCTTATCACAAGGACCACAGAGCGATTCAGGTACATCTTTTCACTTATAGAATCTATGAGTTGTAATCTCGATGGAATTCTGCCTTCTCTTCGTATACATGTCCTAAATATTTTGCCTTCATTGGGTCTTAGTTGTTATTTCCCGCCATAAAATTGCTAGTTTTTTATGAGGGCGCTCTGGTTTCTCGGTTCTTCTTTATAGATTCGAAGGTCTTCTTACCACGACGTGATTAGGGTTTCTGAGATTCAGAAGGTCTTGGACATTAGCGGTGTTCAGACCTACATTATCAACAGCGCCCGAGTTGTATTCTTGAACGAACGTCCTCAGCCCAGGCCGGGCAAAGGGGTAACTAACACCTGCGAGGTCTGCGAGCGGAGCCTCCTTGATGCCTTCCGATTCTGTTCTCTTGGCTGCAAGGTAAACACCACAATACACCATTTCTTTCGATTAAGTTCCGGGAGATATCTATTTAATAGTCGAGGAATCAGAATTTCTTATTGTCGCCCATTGTTCAATTAAACCATTAAATGTAAAATTAAATTGGCATAGTTTGCATATTGATTTCCAGATTGTCGGAACTTCCAAGAACTTCCAGAAGAAGAAGCGATCGCCGGCGACAGCCTCGGACTCAGAAGACTCGTACAGTAGCAGCAGCCATGATCACCAGAAGTCCAAAGTCCGGAGCTTCACCCCTCCCACACCTCCACCAACGGTCGCAAATTACAGAACTGCGAAGCGGAGAAAGGGAATTCCCCACAGAGCCCCTTTCGGAGGACTTATCATAGAATATTAGAATTACTAGTCAGTACACAGTATTAGTAGGCTAGTATCAGTTAATTACTGAAATATCCAGGAATACGCAGTAAATTATAAATACTAAAATGTAGCCCCCCTCTTTTAGGCTTTCACACTTTCTCTTTACTCTGTGGGAGCCCAACAGCACCAAGGAAGCCGGTGTTGGGACCTGATGTGAAGACTCTCTCTCTCTCTCTCTGTTGTATATAGAAACAGTCTACAATAGAAAAACTGAAAAAGTTGGAAAATTAGAGAAAATAAAAAGGGATGTAAGGAGTTAAAAGTAATTAGGTTGATCTACAGGTACCTAAAAGGAAAATATATATACCTAAGTTTTGATAGTGGATTAAATGTAAATATATTTTGTGATTAGGGATGACTATGCAATGATAGATTTGTCTATAAATGGAATGAAAATATGGAATAAACGAGATTCACGTTCATCTGTGTCTTTGCTGTTGCACTGTATCATTCCTTTTCTCTGTGAAGTGTTACTGTATTTTTGCTGTGGCAGAAGAAAGGCGGGCCACGGTGAAACGTGGGTCCAGCGGGGCCGCCGACTTGCAAGAAAAAGTTAAAAACCGGAGGGTATCCGCTGTTCCACGTGGAATGTTTTCTTCGACGAGAGAAAAGTTGAGGTGTCCGAATTCTCCGAACCGAACTCGCCCAGCCGCCATCGGCGACGATTCATCGGCGTGTAATGCTTTTTCCTCGTGTAAGGAAGTGGGTTGGTATCTCCTGTTTTGGGTACTATTGAGCGTTTGGACATTGGACGGTCGTTAGGAGTCAGGGCATTACTCAAGTTGCGGAAAGTGGACCCGCCCCACTTTATGACTTTGATCATTTGGCGTTTGCGCGTGTTTTTAGTTGTTATGCTTTCATGCTAAGCAATATTATATTATGCATTGAATCGACTGACGATTCTGACCGTCCGATGGAAAAGGATAAGCTTCCAATGGGTAATTGAATTTTAGGTGATGCAGTGCACCGAGGATGGAAGCCTTATTGCGAAGCCCATGGATTTGATGGTTCTGATGAGCCCATAATCTCACGAAGCCCTCAGAACGTGCCACGTGTCTTGCTTTTTTCTGGGAGTTTATATCTAGACACGTGGAAACTCGAATTTATGAAACGTGGCTGGTACCGAATAAGTTACTGGTATTCCAGGTAAAGCGTACTTTGCTAAGGAGATAGAGACAAGCAGGACCCGAGAGGCCGAGATATGTCGTCATCGTTAGCGTGGTTCCAATAGTTTCCTCAAAAAAAAAAAAAAAAAAATGGAACGAACGAGATCTGAGATCATGCCACCAACAATTCTGCTTCGTTCGTGTTTTCGGTTTTCAGCCGTCCTCAACTTTTTTTTATCCTTCACGTATGCCTTGTGCATCAAAGACTAAGAAATTAATAAATTCCCAATCTTCAGTCTTCAGTCTTCTCTCTCACAAGTCACACAAAAAGAAAAAGAATAAATTAGTCGCTTAATTCCTTTTTATTAGTGGTGGTGATGGTGGGAGCGCATCAGTTATCGGATATACTTACTCAGCAAGTGGATGGGATATGTGAGAACTGAGCATCTTAAGTCGCCGGCTTAATTTGGTTCCTTGTTCAAAGCCATCTCACCTGCTTTTCAGTGTCTCAACTCTCAAATCATTTCCAAGCTTTTCTACTTTAATTACCGCAAGTTGTTCCTTCCTCCTCATCCTCCACTTGTTACTTGAGATAAGAGGGGGGTCAATTGAGTGGGGTCCCACTCTTAATTGGATTTGCCTAAGCCATGATGTCACATAGCTATTAGCCATTTATCTGATAATGCCCGCCTCTTTCATGGCCACCATGGCTTTCATGGAGTGATGATACACCACATAAGACCTCTTTCACTCGTGGCCCACCATAGCAATTTGCCAACAGCGATTAGTTAACTTATATGAACACTATTCCAGGGGTGTAGACTGTAGAGACTTCTACTTGCCTACTTGTTCTCTCTCTCTCTCTTTCTCTACCTCTAGAATATCCTAGGTTGAGGGACTCCTAGTCAGTTGTGCCACGTGACTCCATTTCCATCAAATGTTCAATTTTGTCCCACCCACTAACATGCGAAATAGTGTGATTACTTCACCCTCTTTAGGGTCCGTTTTATTGGCATGAGCTGTCAAACTAGAAGAATATCCCTTAATTCAAGGAAAATTCTTATCATGATCGTACTTAGTCATCCCCTAATCCAAGGGATAATTCTTACCCCTAACAAGGAAAGATTGAATATGGCTGTATATATATACTCATTCAATGTAAAGAACGAATGCAAGGAAAAAAGGGAAGAACAAAATTTTTTGTATATACAAGCTGTCATGGTATTAGAGCGTATCGATCCGTGACCAACTCGTCTACCTTGCCTTCTGCGTCTCGAGCTCATTCATCTGCTGCTCTCGATCTTGATAGGAACCACCAAGATCAGAAACGTTGTTCCTGCAATCCAAGCCGCTTTCCCAGTGCTCTTCAGAAGCTTCTTCGTTACGAAAACTGCATCAGATGCCACTGTTTTTCCTTGTTGGACGATGGATGATTAAGTTATCTCACTGCGAGCTGGTCGATTGAATTCGATAATTTATACGACTGGTATACCCATCTCCTCAAGAAGTCTCCCAACAAGACCATCCATGTCCATTTGCTCGGAAACACAATTACAGCCAATCCGAATAACGTCGAGTATATGCTGAAGACGAGGTTTGAAAATTACCCAAAAGGGAAGCCTCTCTCCGTTATCCTGGGTGACCTCTTGGGTCGTCGCATCTTCAACAATTTTATTATATACTCTTTCTCTTCATTCCTTCCGGTAACATCGGATGCAGCTACGCATGAGTGAGTGTCCTCTCTTCTTCTCCTTTATTCTCGCAAGATTATTGCGTACCTTTGTTCTGATGTTTTTGTAGCGAAATCATCCACCACGTCCTCCACATCATATACTGCATCTTTAAGCTTGGCCAGCCAATCTATGACCTCAGGGTCTGTTGGACACTGAGATGCCATTAGCAAGGACGCCTTTCAGCAGATACAACCATGTCCGATTCAGAAACCTCAAATCCTTCTGGGGAACAACGATCCAACCCTACCCTCACCGAATTGACTACCAGAATGGCTGAAATCCTGCACTGACCGACCTCAACTATAGAGACTCCCGCAGCTCCGATTGGCATCAAGTTGGACGGCACCAACTATGCTCTTTGGTCCCAAGTTGTTGAGATGTATATCTCCGGAAAAGACAAATTGGGATATATTAATGGCGAGCTTCCCCAGCCTCCTCAGACTGACCCAACCTTTCGGAGATGGTGCACGGACAACGCTATTGTCAAGGGCTGGTTAATTAACTCCATGGGCGTATCCTTGATCGATAACTTTATTCGATTCCCTACAACAAAGATGGTGTGGGATTCTGTTGCTACTACTTACTTTGATGGTAGTGATACCTCGCAAGTATGCGATCTCCAACGCCGTGTGACCTGCTTGCGACAGTCTGGAGGATCTCTTGAAAAATATTATAATGATCTCCAAGGTTTGTGGCATGAAATTGATTTTCATCATCCAAATCCAATGGAGTGTGTTGCGGATATTCAACGTTATAATGATCTTCTTCAAGAAGAGAGAGTATATATTTTCTTGGATGGCCTTGATGACAACTTGACAAGATTCGATGTACTCCAAATGCATCCATTTCCCACTGTTGAACAGGCATATGCACAGGTTCGTAGGGAAGCTATTCGGCAAAAGGTCATGATCACTGGTAACAATACTGAAACTCCAGGAGTTGTTTTGGCCTCCAAAAGTGTTAAAACTGGACAACCTACTTCGTCCTCAACGGGCTCTCTTTCTTTGAGCAACGAAAAATCTGGTATGTTCTCTAAATCACGAACATCTTCTGATGGAACTAAGTGTTCTCATTGTGGTAACTTGAAACATACCCAGGAGAATTGCTTCAAACTACATGGCTACCCCGACTGGTGGCATGAACTCCGAGCTCGAAAACGTCAAGACAAGGCTGAAACTAGCGGTAAGGCTGCGATGGTAACAACAAAACCCCAACTTTCATTCACACCACCTGTTGAAGTACCACAAGGAGATGTACTCCTCTCAGACTCAGGTAACAACCTTTCCCATAACACTGTTGATAGCAATGCCTTGACTCGGGGGCTATCGACCACATGACCTATGATGTTACTGATTTTTCAAAAGCTTCACCACCAAGACGGACTACAATTGCTAATGCCAATGGGATTGTATCTCTAGTCACAGGAACAGACACTATGACCTTGTCACCTGCAATATCCTTAAATAACACTTTGCTTGTTCCCTCTCTCTCCCATAAATTACTATATGTTAGCCAAATTTCCATTGATTTAAATTGTGTTGTACTCATCTATCCTACTTTTTGTCTTCTTCAGGATATTCTCACCAAGGAGATAATTGGGCGTGGTACTAGGAGAGGGGGGGGGCTCTACTACATGGATGATCTTAGTATGGGTCAAGCACGTCATGCACATCATTAAGATAACACCAAATAACAACGGATTTGGATCTGGCATCACCGGTTGGGACATCCATCATTTGGTTACATGAAGCATTTATTTCCGGATTTATTTACAGATATGCAGCCTCGTGATTTTCAATGTAGCACTTGCATCTTAGCCAAGAGTCATAGAACTATCTATCCTTTAAGTATGAATAAAAGTAAAGTTCCATTTGCTTTAATTCACTCGGATGTGTGGGGGCCATCCTCGGTAACTACGGTGTCTGGGTTTCACTGGTTTGTAATCTTTGTTGATGACTGCACTCACATGACATGGTTATATCTGCTAAAACATAAAGATGAAGTGTTGACTGTATTTCAATCTTTTCATATGATGGTGAAGACTCAGTTCTCAGCTAAAATTCAGGTTCTTAGGTTTGATAATGGCGGGAATATATGAATCAACGGTTCCAAGATTATTTCCAGATTCATGGACTTCTTCATGAGACTTCATGTCCATAGACTCTACTCGTGCTTTGTTACTTGGAGCACATGTACCTAACCGACATTGGGCTGATGCTGTTGCTACTGTTGTGCACCTCCTTAACCGAATGCCATCACGAGTCTTACATTTTAAGACACCATTACAAATTCTTTCATCACATGTCTCTTTACCAACCGTGTTGATGATTCCACCTCGAGTTTTTGGCTGTGTGGCATTTGTACATCTGCATAAAAGCCAACGCACAAAACTTGATCCACGTGCAACTCGGTGCTTATTTTTGGGGTATGCATTACATCAGAAAGGATATCGATGTTATGATCCAGCCACCCAATGCACCTATGTTTCCATGGATGTCACTTTTTTGGAATCTGAAACATTCTACTCTCCTTCCGAATCCAATTCTTCTCTTCAGGGGGAGAGTTAGAGTGAAGAACATAATTGGTTTCTACCCGACTGACTGAATAATAGTGCTTCAACAAAAATGGTGGAAAATATGGAACACTCTAGACCAGAAATGGTGGTCAATGAGGAACCTTCTACAACTGATATAATTTCAAGAGAGACATCTACAGTCTAGAAACATCTACATCGCCACTTCCAGCAGAAATAGAGACCCCAACCTCCACAGTACCTGAAGACCCATCTCCTGAGAATATTCCTGAAGCGAATGAGAACATTCCTGAGGTAAACTCTCCTACTACACCTTCAAGCTCTAATGATATGAATACTTCTGTCGGTTACACTTTACCTTTCAGGCATAATCGTGGAAAACCGCCAAATAGATATTCTCCAGATATTGAGGATCGGAGGTCAAAGTATCCAATTGCCAATTATGTATCAACAAAGAGACTCTCCAAACCTCTCAAAACATTTGTGCGAGAATTGTCCTCAAATCATATTCCTACCAGTGTTCAAGAAGCTTTGACAAACCTGAAATGGACTCAGGCCATACAGGAAGAAATGGAGGCACTATTGAAGAACAAAACATGGACTCTTATCACCTTTTCCGAAGGGAAAAGACCTGTAGGGTGTAAATGGGTATTTTCCATTAAATACAAGGCGGATGGGTTGATCAAGAGATACAAAACAAGGTTGGTCGCGAAAGGTTATACCCAAACACATGGCGTAGATTATCAAGAGACCTTCTCACCAGTGGCCAAATTGAATACAGTTAGAGTTTTATTATCTCTTGTAGCAAACCTTGATTGGCCACTGTACCAGTTCGATGTAAAGAACGCTTTCCTCCATGGTGATCTTGAAGAGGAGGTATACATG